TCGTTCGTAACAAGTGCCTTACTAGTAGTAACAAGAAGCTAGTAGTATCAAGTGCATCGCTTCGTTCGTAACAAGTGCCTTACTAGTAGCAACAAGAATGCTATTAGAAACAAGTGCATCGCTTCGTTCGTAACAAGTGCCTTACTAGTAGTAACAAGAATGCTATTAGAAACAAGTGCATCGCTTCGTTCGTAACAAGTGCCTTACTAGTAGTAACAAGAATGCTATTAGAAACAAATGCATCGCTTCGTTCGTTACAAGTGCATGCTATAGGCTATAATTCTAATTAATTTCTTATTGTTACTAGTAGTAAGGCACTTGTTTCTAGTAGCCTCTTGTTACTACCAGTAAGGCACCTGTTACTACCAGAAACTTATAGTCTATAATAACATGGTACATATGTTAGAACCTGGAGTCACATGTCGCTCGGGGTGCCGAACCGAACGGTTCGGAAGGAGGTTGGTGCCCGGTGACCACATGTGCCCACGAGCCCTGGATGGGAAGGACGTTTACCACCCCGACATGTGATGGGCATCCCGACATGGAACTGGTGTATGTATCTTCTTTTTTAACCCTGTCCCGCGCTCGTAGCGTAGTATCAAGTGCTTGAGCCGCTTGGCCATCTCATCAAAAGCCGGAAGGATCTGCCGGGCATCTGCCTCCTTCAGATCAGTTCGAACCGCCGTCCAATCATTGGAAGAAATTGTTTCACATAGGCACAAAAAATCTCTACTACAAACTCACACCGTGTGAGACATGTATAATGTCATGCGATGTGAGGGGTCATTCGAAATTCGTTTGACTCCTATTCCGTCTGATTTCAATATCAATGGCGTGACGCGTTCCAAGTCCTCCACTCGAAACAGAACCACCTGATCACAGGGCAACGGCTGCCTACCGGCGAAGATGATGCAACTCCTGTGACTAGACCCCCTTGAAAGATTTGATGCTATTGGATGCGGCTATTGGATGCTATTGGAAGTCAGGCATATGAAGAGGTGTTGCCATCCACGTTCAAGTCTATACAGCTGGCTTAGTGTGCTCAGGAGATGTGAGACGTGCCACTCTTCTTCCCCACTGATCTGCCACGAGACATGTCGCACGGCGCAGCCCGGAAGCTTGGCGCAGGCGTACCTGGGACGGATCGGAGTGGCGCCACCGTGGAGACGCGATCCGAACCGGGCGCGCCTCCACCAAACCAAGGCCGCCAAGCTTCCCGACAGCAGATGCCTTTGAAATGCGGGAAAACGGCTAATGAAGGCGTTTAAATGCCTCTATTATTAAAAGAATGTACTAGGAGCAAGAAGCTACTAGTACTAGGGGCTCCTGGCATCGCTACTAAGAGCAAGGACGCTACTAGTAACAATAAAAGTAAAAAACGGCCTCCTTTTCGGTCAATTGAGTCCGCATTCATCAGATCTACAGCCAGTCGTCTAAGAGCCAGGCCACTGCCAGGTCAACATGTAACCCACAAGGCAAAGGCGAAGGCAAAGCACCAAAGTTGAAGATTTCGTAACCAGGGTTTGGTCATATTCTATATTTACACACATGCATCTAGATATATTGATAAATACTATGTGCATTCATGAGAATATATGCCGCGTGTGTGTGTGTGTGTGTGTGTGTGTGTCTGTCGCGGTCTTTCAGGATGCCTTCAATGGTTCAATTGTCTTGGCTTGAGTTTGACCACGCGCTTTCTCAGTTGACTGTTCCTGAGTTCTTCCATTCTAAGCTTTCCGCGGCTGCGGGGTGCGGTCATGTCAGCCAGGTTTTTCGGCGCCGCACTGCTCGCTGAACGAAACCACCGAAACCTCTAAGTGCCCTGCTCGCTCTTCGACCGGACCAGGAATGCAACACCTGGTGCGGTGCGAAGCAGTCAGCGCGCAAGCTGAAAGGTGTAGGGGGTGCCCCTCAGCGGAAAATGCGGTAGTTCCTCCTCTTTCCGCGTAATTACTCAGTACTCTATTTGCTTCCTGACTTTTAAGCAGGCAATCCATCAATCCCACCTAGGGCACCCCAAATGGCCTAGTTTCTTGGGTTCTGGTGAGGTCTGTTTTCACTCGAATGAGAACACAAGAACACAAGAACCCCGTTCGCTTCGGAGTTCCGCTCTACTCCAGCTCGTCTTGTCGGTGTCTGCGGGTGTCGTCGGGTCCCGGGCAGATGGAGGGATTTAAGCTCGTCCATGGCAGCCGCAAGGGCCGTTCAGCCCGCAAGCCTCCCCTGGCAGACTGGAACAGGTGGAGCAGTCGGGTGGACCGAAACAGCTGAAGAACCCTTAGTCAATGGTCTCTTCTTTTCCCATGAACCTGACAAACAAAAAAAAGAACGTTTGTGAAATAGAACAACCTCCAAAGAAAAAAGACACTTCCCCTCCGGACGAGTGGTTCTCCCGAACTCATCACACTCACATAGTCTTTGGGACGCCGGGCGAAGCGATCACATCCGCAGGCTTCTGCAACGCGGGGTGGGTGACGTGTGGGTCCAGAAAGAGCAAACTCTCTTCGCCGTGCGTCGCCTCGATGACATCAGCGGCGGATCAGCGGCTGACGATGACGACGGGATCTCTCGAAGTGTTCCATCTCTGCTCTCTAAGCATGCCACCACAAAGAAATGGGCTGACGAGGAACTGTTGCCACTTGCCAAACCCTGAGGATCAAAGGCATCAAACCCCAAGATCCATGTGGCTCGCACAACTGGCCCTGCCTGGAATTCGGGAAGTCGAAAGCAGCTATCCAGACCTTCCAATCAGCATCTTCATACGAAGAAGAAGGGGCAGTGTGATAAAAACGAGGGGCATGGGAATCACACCCAAACCCTCCCCACATGCCCAATATACATGTTCCAGCTCCCTAAGCTCCCTAAACCACACTTCGTCCACCACCATACACGCCCCAACCAGTGTGCCTTGCTGATACTCGTCCAAATTGCAGCTTTCCAAGCCCAAGCGTCGGCAGACGAAGAGGATCACCTACCAGATGCCGGATCTGGAGAACGAATCAAGGGACCCAGAAATCACTCAGCAATCATCAGTCTAAGGAAGCAGCTGATGTGCACCCATTGTCGAAATGCTCCATCCTCAAAGGCCGTTTCTTCCGTTCCCCAACAACAAATCACTTCAGAAGCCTTTGAAACGTCCAGTGTAGACAGTGTCTGTCCCATATGTCACGCACTGAGCCCTCAGCACACTCGCCTTGTAGATGGGCCCATCCTCATGAGTCAGTCGCGGAGCACGGACCCGGAGGATCCACCGAATGGACTGAGCGTCCCGGCCACAAAGACCGCACAGCCGACGGTTTTCAGAAAGTCGGGACCAGCCACCTGCGTGAGGGACCGACTTCCCATGCTTGGCAGGGCAGTGCTTTTGGGAGCGACTTCCCTATCTTCAGGAAAATGAACTACTCCACCTGGTAGGAAGTCCATCCATCCACTACCAGGGGGGTAAAATGAGTCACTTGGACTCCTCGGGGTAGTGACTTTCAAGTGACCTGCAACATCCTATACCAAAACTAGACGCTTGAGGAACGGTTGGGGCACACCTCTTTGCAAATTAAGTGAGCATACCGAACACGGAGAAATGCTGCAACAAAGGTCTCCGGCAACCAGTTGCCAAGTCAAAAAAAAACACTCCCCACATTGAAATTGCCCCATCCTGCTTCTCATGTTTTCCCGCCAGAACTTTTGCCAGAAAGGTGGTTCTCCCAAAAAGCCACGATCTCGGCGTTCTGTCACTGAACTTCTCTTTCCTTTAAATCCACAAGCTTCCGGCCATTCTGGATCCAACACCCGGATCCAACACACATCGCACCCTGAGGTGATTTTTCTGGAGTTGTTGGATCATACTAAATGCATCACCGACACTACTGAATGAGGCTTCGAGGAGGAACCTGGTCCATGTCCAAGTGAGTCCAAACATGACAAGTACTGAAATCATTACTGCAGTATATACTGCACTTGTTATCTCTGTACGAGGGGGCACCCCCATGCCTCTCCGCCTGTCAACCATCATCCGTTCCGGAGCCGCGCCTTGGAGGCCTCAAACAGGTGCCCCACGGCTTGAGCGGCCGACGTGGGGCCAAACCTGCGGGACCGGTGAAGGGCCAAGAACCCCTCCAACTCCAAACACCTTCCGGCTTCCTGATGGAGGATGTCTGTTCTTCCTTCCATCTGGGTGCCCCCGGCCACGACGAAGGCTCCTTGCCCAGGATGCGCTGCCCCATTTCCACGAGGCGATGCCTCGGACCGGAACCCATCACCGCACCCGCACCGGTGGGCGGTGCCGGGGCTCCCGGACAGGGAAAAGGAGGCCTCGGGCGTGTCCAGGAAGCAGCTGGCGACACGCAAGTAGGTGGAGCCTGAAGCGGTCTGAGACCGAGTCACATGTGGTGGTGGGCACCTAACCTCCTTCCTCCGTTCCCAGTTCCGGTTCGTGCTTCGAGCCCCATCCACTGAAGGAACGAACTCCCCACCAACCACTGGAACTCCGAACAAGAAAATAAGGACGCTACGTTCGGGGCTGGCATCGCTACGAAGAAGGAGCTACGATCGGGGCTCCTGGCCCTACTAGGAGCGATCGGACGCTACGTTCGGGGCAACGGTTTCTTTCGCAACGCTTCGAGCCAGGATCCGCCGACCTTCTTTCAGATCCTCCTCCCTGAAACGCCAGTCGCGTCCTGGATGAACATTCATGTGACATCCCAAGCATAGAAGGGGAAGCCCCCACCTAAGGTCAGGGAGACGAAGCACTGGGCAAGCATCATCTGCGTCACCTCACAAGAAAGCGCCCGCAGCTTAGTGCCTTACTAGTAGTAACAGGTGCCTTACTAGTAGTAACAAGAAGCTATTAGTTTAATGTTGAGTTTAATTCTAATAGCTTTTTGTTACTACCAGTAAGGCACTTGTTACTACTAGCGAGGCACTTGTTACTAGCAGCTTCATCTAAAGTCCGGCTGCAGGATGGCACAAACCCTCCGAAAGCCAAGAATTCAGTCGCTAAAAGCTTCTCGCTGGCGTCATCGTCTGGAGGAAGGGCAGTAGAAAACGGTAGAAAATGAAACACACATGACTGATGAATCGCGTGCTTGTGCTTCCAGTACATCCAGTGTCCCAAACGGGCCGTGCCAAGCTCCTGGCTCGCAGCATGCAGCCCCAGCCTGGCCGACAAAGCTCGCAGCAAAGCGACGGAGGGCGCTCAAAAAATCACCTGAATCAGAGGCCGTTGTGCCACCAGCCGCCAGCTGCAAGGGAGGCCTTGAGTCCCACAGCCCGGAGCTTTTTCCAAGCTTCAAGAGCTCAACAACCAGAGGGGTGACTCCTAGACTTCCTAAGGGAGTTATTTGGGGTTCCAGGACATTCACCTGGTTTTGCTTAAGATGTGTTATTGACCTAAAGCCCCTTAGGACGGTCACATCCCCAGAACCGTCTCCGCGCTTCTTCCGTCCAAGCGCTCTTCTGCCCAAGCGGCTCCAGGCCGGAACGATAGGTCAGAAGGACGCGCGAGCGGAAGTCCTGCACTGATTTGGCACGTGCCAAGGACGGCGACAACGACGGCGCGGGTTTCCGCGCACCGGCCGAAGGAAAAACCGACTGGACTGAAATCGACCGCCGCGCCCTGCACGACTCGAATTTAATATGGCCTTTTGAGATTTGAGCCAGTCGTGAGGAGAGATATGTTTGGAAGATGCCACGAAACTGCTCTCCTCCAAGAATTCCTCCCTGGCCGCCTCCTCATTGCAGTCGTAAGTGACGCCCAAGCAGACCACCTAGCGGCCAGTTCCAAAACGGGTGGTGTCAGTGGGCTGATCTCAGATCACCAGGAGGCAGATGTCGGGGTGGTCTGTCCTTCCCATCTAGTGATGTGGATAGTGATGTGGATGTTTTGGGCACTCCGACCTCCTTCCTCCAAGTTCACCCCGAGCGACATGTGACTCCTGGTGTATCCCTTTTCAGACTCGCAGAGTCATCTGAACCCGATCGCCTTGGAGGAGGGTGTGAAGGGCATCCACTTGCGAATCTCATCGATCATGCGATGAATCCTTGGCCGACGGGTGTCGTTTTTCCGCGGCCGCCCTACCTACCGCATGCACCGCACGGTGGAGGCGACGAGGCGACGAGAGGAAGCAAGTCGCTCGAGAAAGCGCTGGGCAGCTGGCTGCTTCATCTCGGCACTGAACACATCTATTGGTTCCGTCCAGAACCCCGCTGAGCCAAAAAGGCCACGGTAAGGAAGTGGCTGGCCTAAGGTCCGGAAGGGCCGGTCTTGGAACATCGTCCAAGGGAGCGAAGATGGGTGTGACGAAGCCACCTTCAGGTGGGATGCACCTGAGGCAAAGCGCCAAAAAAGCCGAGTAGAAAGGTTTTGTTTCCTTTTGGCGCACGAATGCGGTTCCAACCAACGCACTCTCGGAGTCAAAGTCTTTTTGGACCGGCGCTGGAAGCGCATGTCTCCAAAGACTCTCGGAACTCAATGAGCTAATTTCACGTTTTCGCGAATTGTCATGCACCGTTGAGCTTGGGCTTCTTGTGCCAGAACGGCCTGATGTTCAGCTCCAATGGAGCTGCGGCCACCGGGGGTCGAGCTGCAGCGCGAAGATCTTCCATATGTCGCTCTTGATGTTCCTCGTCCATCTTCCTCGGTCTGGACGGGCGCACACGTCGGATATAAAAAATTGGCTTGGCTCCGGAAACCAAAGGATCAATTACGTAACAAGGACGCAATTAGGTGAAGGCCATGGCAAGCAGGTTGGAGGCCATCGCTACTAGCAACAAGAAAGCGTCATTTTGGCCCTTGGGCCTTTTCTCTTTTCACACATAGAGTCTTAGAGAGAGAAGCCAATGCTGGATATGCGTGGCCCAAACAAAGGATCACCGGGTCGGGCGCCCAAACATGTCCAACACCCGAATACGTGTGGTGTTCGTGTTCGTGTTCGACTGCAACCAGCATACTGCAACATGTCAATGCGTCGTTTTTGGATGGGCCACATGTCAACGTGTCGGGTATTCCTTCAACCTGAATGCAAAACCGGTGTCCATTCAGAATCTGATCCCTGGAGATCCTTTCTCAATGACGTCCAAGAATGTGGGTATGCCGACCACCTGGTAAAGTTTCGGGCTCACATGCTGGGCCAAACAATACCGTTGGAGCCCCACATGACCTAGGAAGTAGTTCCAAAATGATTGAATGTCCAACGAATCCAACGAAGAAACATGTTGCGACAGCTTCCTGCGAATCATATCCTGTGCGAGAAGTTTGGGAAAAGCAGCTTGCAGAAACTCCGTCAAGATTTGATCAGTTTGTGAGATCTTTTCATAGGATGGGTTTGCCGCGGGGAAATGAAAGTTTCCCCTTCTTACGGTGTTTGCCTCAGCCAAGCCGGACTCGTTCACAGCACTCGTGAAGAACAAACAGCTCATGGGGAATCATGACGGAAGCTGCCGTGATCAAAAATATGCAAAGCGCCAAAGCGCTGTTCTATGCACCAGCCCCAGAACAACATTCCTAACCCTTAGGCCCTTAGGCCTTCTTTCAACCAATGGGGTCAGTGCACGTTGCTGCTCAACACACCATATGTGCCCACAGCCAATGGATGTCAACGGATTCCAGTTCTTGGATCAAGCTTCTTCTTGGCTGCTCGCATGCGCTCCCGCTGATCGAGCGACTTCGCCTTCTCGCGTGACATCTGCTCTTCGACGTTCCTCTGCCTTCAAAAGCGGGCGCCGCAGAGTCCGTGAACCGCGAAAGGCCTTTTTCCTCACCGACCAACCGGTGGTCGCGTCAGGTGCGACCTGTTTTCGCAAATGGACTCCCAGGCAGCCGGGACTTTTTAGAGGAAAAATTGTCAAACAAAGCTGTAGGGTCATCTTCTGGGACCCATGTGAGTCTGCTGGGGTGGGGGATGTAGCTTGTCCACCGTGTTGAAGCAGGCCGAAGGGACCCGCAGCCCAGCAATCAGCGTGGGAGAAAACACACACCGCTCCGCTTCGGATCCTTTGGGAATGATCAGAACCGTTTGCACGAGTCGATCAAGGAACCCCCACCCAGTGCTTCAACGAGATGACCCAGTCCCTTTCCCTGCCTGGACCACCTCTTCTGAAGCTCATCTTGAGCTTCACTCAAAAGGCCCTGCCAACACTCCAGCTGCAAAGCAGGCGAAAACAAACACGATTAAGACAGTCACACGTAGATATGCGTGTTATGGTATATAATAGTAGCATTGGCCAAATTTCAAGGAAAAAAAACACAGAACTGCGACTTCGATTCGCTGTCTTGCCTTCACTTTCTTGAGCTCCACCTGAAGGCCATAGATTTGATCATGAAGCCTCCCGATCTCCTCGTCCTTTTCTGCAAGGTGCTTGTCTTGCTCTTGGACGCGCATCTGGCCAATCCAGAAGCACATTCAGGGTGATGGAGGAGATGTTTGGAGCATGTCTTCAATGGTTTTTTACGCCGACCTTCTGCCGTAACTACGCCTTCTTCGTACCAAAACGCTTCACGGCACCTTGGCAACGACCACCCCGAGGCCTCTGCACGCACTTTCTCTTCCACCAACGACGTTAAGGCGTCACTGGGCCTCGGCCCCAGGTTCTGATGCCACATCCAACCCAAAAACAAAAACAAAAAGAAACCGCCTGCGGCTCATCTTGGCCCCCAAAAAACCCTCCACCGTGGCGCCTTGCAACGGCCTGCTTTGCCTGCTTTGCTTCCTCCTCTGCCGCGAGCAGCATGACGCGACGAATGATCTCATCAGCTGCCACGCCATGAATGCCCTTGGTTTTGGCCTGGGCAGCGCCAGCATCTCTAAGGCTCCAAGGTTTCCAAATGCATGATGACACAGGAGTTGTGGACGACCAGTACGGCGTACGGTGCGTGGGAGAACGACCGGTGAAGGCTCCAACACCTCCTGAGACAACGTTTGTATGTGTGTGTGTGTGTCTCTTTCTAGGTCTCTCCTTCGTTGCTTGGCTTCTTTTAGGTTTCAGGTTATTTTTTCCGTCAAGGGAGCGCCGATAGGGCTATGTGTGTGTGTGTCCAACCCTGGACAAAGGGTCTTCCACCACCACTCTTTC